CAAAATGACTGCCTTTCGAGTGTGTATCTAAACTTGACAATTAACAGTTTCAAGTTAAAGGAGTATTTTTTTCTACATATTATTTTAAACCTCTCACTTGTATTACAGCCGCATAAAAATTCCATTATATTGACAACAATGTGAACAAAACAAACATACATAATAGGTTAACATGTCAAAAATAAGGGTACAACCGTACAGCAGTCAACATTGTGTTATATTCTTAATCAATATAAAAATAACAATTATGTCAACAAAGAAAAACAAAAAAACATATACACTGTATACAAAGCACATAAGCAAAAACGAATGACAAGATTACAAAAATTTACAATAGCACAATAACACGATGACGGGATGTATAAGTACCGACCCACGTCAAATGGATATTACCAAAAAATTACTAGACAGTAATAGTAATAATTTACAAAGACAAATAAAATAACACGTCAACATGTAATCAAGATGATTAACAACGTCAGTACCTAGAATTTATACTATAAATGAAAGCATTTTTGGTGTCAGATGATAAAATGATTTAATCTGCTCGAACAATCCAGGAATTATCTCTTTATCATATTTAAAAGTATCTGCTTTATTGTTCCTGATTCTATAAGATAATTTATTCAAATTTTTAAAATGCTTGGATAAGATAAAACTCATATTATAAGTATCTATAAATATGTAGGATAACAGATATCCGTCATCAGTATGATTATGGTGATGTTGAATAAACCATATCAATCTATTCTGGTTAAAAATAAAAACAAAAACAATATTGAACGTTATACAAATTAAAAACCGAAACGGGTTTATATCGTTCTAAATTTTCAAAGTTGAAGCAGGTTATGTATTTATATATATATAGATATGCACCCAAAAATAATAGTTATGAGCAATATGGGCTGGTAAAATTCTAAAATTACACAGGTAACGAAAGTTAATTTACTACAACAGAGACTTCGTACATGTAGATATACATCCAATATGAATAGCACTGTCCGATTTGAACTGTTCTAATTCTAAAATTATAAAGTTGACGAATGTTTAGTAACTACAATAGATGCTGCGTATCTTTACTTCCAAAATATATAGGTCTGTTCGATTTGAACAGGGATTATTCATAAATTTCAAAGTTGACTAAGCTTAAGTTATTACAGATAGGCTGCGTATCTATCAATCCAAAATTAATAGCACTGTGCGATTTGAACTGGTATAAACCCTAATTTTTTAGATGTCAAAGGTAAAGGAATTGCAACAAAGACTGCGTAGTTATACAAACAAAATGAATAGCACTGCGTGATTAGAACTACGCCTTTTCATTGATCCCATTTAGTGCCAACGTTTTTAATTTTCATATCTCAATTCCCGAGTGATTCTCTCCTCCCTAGACCATAGCAGTGTTGTAGTCTATTATGTTAAAAGTCAGTCGATTGAGATCTGCCTTTGTTTTGCCAGTGTATCTCAATATCGACTGAGAGGAGGGTCTGGCTTCCATTCATAGTCACCACGATGGGCATTCATACGTTTGTGAAATGGCTTTTCTGACATGCCAACATACTGTGTGTTATTGCTGTTCAATTCCAAAGTTAGAAGCTGGACTAAACGTTACCTAGTGAGTGTAATATGCTGCGAGAATTACAGACCTCCCTAAAGATTTCAATACTATTTACACGGGAGATGTTAGTATAGAGAAATGTAACGTCAACGAGCAACGAGACAAGAATTGTTTCAGGTGGGATAGTTTTTTGGCTAACAATATATACATATAAATTTGGTAAACATTTAGATTAGAAATAATTGTAGGCTGTTTTTTTTCCTACTCTAGATTTAAATCTGAATGTTTTGTTAGTGTAATCTACCATAAGGGCTTAATCGATTCATGACTATTAAACCGCGATATACTACTGTTGCCTTTATTTATCTAAGTTCTACGCATTAAAAAAAGAAAAGATGCAAAATATACTTTCAAAGATAACAGTACAATTACTAATTATCAAATACCACTTGGTAACAAAGTAATGATATTTCTTGGTACCACCATTCGTTAAAGGATATTCATATTCCAATTGTAAAAGAAGACAAAATTTATACTGAAATTTTGACATGTTTGATATGACGACCGAAGATATTGGCAACTAAGTATCCTTATTTTAGACGCGACCATTACAGATCTCATTAAGGGCATACGATACGGCTTTAATCCTACGGTGAAAAGTTGTATACAAGCTATTTTTCACCTAGTCAATTCAAATTTCAAATAATATTAAAAAAAAAATACTTTCATGTGCTTCGTTTAGAAAAAATGGGGTCGAAATATTAGACATTTTATTCAATTTCGGTTTCTTTGACATTTCTATCTTTTAAACAGACATACCTAAGTTTGTTTTTTTTAAAGATAAACACACGCGGATTTTCGGTAAAACATTTGACCTATCTTCATTGCAAAAATATTCCCTAAATTTGCGCAACAATTCTTTGGAAATAATGTATTTCTATTCAATTTTCATGACTTTAGAAAAATCGAAATTTCTTTTGCTGTATATTTATCTAGTTATAAAAATTCATCGGTGATTTCATCATAAAAATTGGTACAAATAATTTCTATACAAAATATAGACAACGTCATAACCAGATCAATATAGAGAAACCTAAAAACAAATAACAAAAACACAGACCGGACGAGACAAAGTACAGATCTGAGAGTACTCGCAGTACCTGACAGCCAGTTCAAATCCAATAGCAACTGAAAAAAAGTCATGTATCTAAGGCTGAAATATCAGTCAGTACAAAGTCCATTGGATTTAGTGTAAAGACGTCATTTACAGTCGGAGAAAAATATAACATTGTGCAATACCAAGATACAGATATCAATAGATTGTAGTACCGTGAATGTGCATATGTATATAACAACAATATTTAGTTTACTTTTTCTGATAACAGTTTATTCTCCGACTACGAGTTTGAATGTCCTTTTGGAATCTTTCGCCTATCTTTTTCATTCCTATTCTAATGCATAAATAAGTATTGAAGCAAAAGAACTTAAAAAATTGTTTAAAATCAAAATAAAAAAAAAATTTCATGAAATTCTATGAATGAACTTGGTGCATTAACCTCAGGTCAAAACATGACGTCATATGAATGAAAACTCTCAAGCTAAACATCATTCTGTTACGTGTACGCTTCAAATTCGGATATATCAGATTGAAAATTGAATTTTGTGGTTGGTGATGTTTCCTTTTTACTAGATTGTTTTTTATATACATATATAGATTTCAGCAAGGCAACTCACTTCTCAATTACGACATGTCAACTGTGGATTTGACGGTAAATTGGAAACAACGCAATAAGAATGGTAATTAGAAATATAAGAATTAAAAAACACTTCGTTCATGGAAGCCAATCATTTATTTGCAAGTTTTAGCTTATAGCATGGGGTGTAAAATTATTGGTATAATAGAATCAAAATAATACACGCAAGCCATAGATTTATAATCATTTTCACATGGCCGTTTAAGACGTTATATTCGTTGATGTTTTCCTTCGCTAAAGCTCAAGATAAACTAAAATAAAATGGCCTGGGCAAAGTGAAAATTTCTGTGGCTTACATGAATTATTTCTTAATTTTATACACTCAATCTATACAATTTAGTCGAATCGATGATTAAAATATAACACAAAACACATATTTAAGTATTGGGTCGTTGGAACGTTTTACTTAGCGAGACCTATATACTGTATTGTTTATGCCAAAACAATATCATAATAATCCCGAACAAGAGTAGTATGCCAATATTCAATTTTAAAGATTGGGCGATAAAAATAGATTGAACGGCACTAATCTGACAGCACCAGAAGCTCATTTCGATTATTAAAGTCTGTTTAGTATGTGTTGTTGTGCTGTGGTCATTTTTGTATCCTTGTCTTTCAATTTTGCTAATGTGTTTTAATTTGTCCATATGCCATTTTGTTTTTCTTTGTTGACATGCCTGTCTGTTTTTAAAGTGATTTAGATTATAACACAATGTAGACTGCTGTGTCTCTATTTTTGACATTTTTACCTATTATGTCTGTTTGTTTTGTTCACACATTGTTGTCAATAAAATGGAATTTTATGCGACTGTCATACAAATAAGAGGTTTAGCTAGCTATCAAAGCAAGTTTAATCCACCATTTTTTACATAAGGAAATGCCTGTACCAAGTCTGAAATATGACAGTTGTTTTCCATTTGTTTGATGTGTTTGAGCTTTTGATTTTGCCATTTTTGATTTGAGACTTTCCGATTTGAATTTCCTTAGAGTTTGGTATTTTTATTATTTTAATTTTTTTTGGGAAGCTAAATGCCGTAATGTTTTAAAATCTAAAACCAAATACAATCTGAAGAGCTGATATAAGGGTCAATATACCGAAAAGGATCATAAGGAAAAGCCACATCAGTTATTGTTACGGAATACAAAACTATGACATACTCAGGGCAGCATCACGGAATACAAAGCTATAACATACTAAGGGCAGCATCACGGAATACAAAGCTATGACATACTCAGGGCAGCATCACGGAATACAAAGCTATGATATACTCAAGGCAGCATTTCAGAATACACAGCTATGACAAACTGGGAGCAGCATGACGGACTACAAAGATTTTATACAAATATATCACTCTTACAAGGGGTATTTCCCAAAAATACCGGTTGAGAGGTAATCAAATTTCCAGAGCCGTTAATTGTTTAATTCCAACGAATGCACTTTGTGTCTATCTATCTAACGAAAAGTCTAGAGGTCTTCGGAAGTCGCGTTATTTTTTGACATGGTATTTGCCATCTGCCGTGGTAGTTACTAGCAAATACCCCGGCACATGGAATTCCCTTATAACAAACACACCGGCAAATAAAAGAAAACCTCAATATATAGAAAATTTGTGAAAAATACCATTTCCATCATCCAATCAAAATTCAGCATTATTACATAAGGTGAAATTATAAGATAAAATAAATAACTGGTTGTTAAATTATTTTTATTTAGCAATAAGATAACCAGAGAACGTAATGTAGCTATCAGCATTACTGAAGATTCGTTGATTGTCATTTCCACGACAACGTATATAGATGCGGTCATCTTTCTTCACGTTAAGCACAATATCAAAGGTTCCAGTTTTATAACCATCGCCATGAGTGTAACTTGCAGCCGTCCTTGTATCATTATGCCATAAATGTAGAAATAAATTTTTTCCAGCTTCTGACATTACAACTGCAGAAAAATGATAGAGTCCTGTTATTGGAGCAGTAAAGACACCAGTAGTGACATCATATGCATTTAAGTTGTTTGTCCAAACTTTATCAAACCTTACAATTTCCCTAGACGATAAATCTTGTACGGTGTCCCTGTATGCTGTGAATGCAGGCATTTTGTTTGGACTCAATTCTATTCTCGTTCCATGTCCTCCTGAAAATAGAAACATAAACAGCTAGCTCATTAATATTGACCTTTGAAATATTATCTTGGCCAATCATAATTAAAGGCAACAGTAGTATACCGCTGTTCAAAAGTCATAAATCGATTAAAAGGAAACAAATCCGGGTTACAAACTAAAACCGAGGGAAACACACCAACTATAAGAGGAAATCAACGGAAGAATAGAAACATTGAACTGCAACAAACCCAAACGCCAACATATATAGAAACAGACTATTTGATAACAACTGGCTTATAACTATTTTGATCTGAGCGTCACTGATGAATCTTATGTAGACGAAACGCGCGTCTGGCGTATTAAATTATAATCCTGGTACCTTTGATAACTATTAACACCACTGGGTCGATGCCGCTGCTGGTGGACGTTTCGTCCCCGAGGGTATCACCAACCCAGTAGTCAGCACTTCGGTGTTTACATGACTATCAATTATATGGTCATTTTTATAAATTTCCTGTTACAAAACTTTGAATTTTTCGGAAAACTAAGGATTTTCTTATCCCAGGAATAGATTACCTTAGCCGTATTTGGCACATTTTTTTGGAATTTTGGGTCCTCAATGCTCTTCAACTTTGTACTTGTTTGGCTTTATAACTATTTTGATCTGAGCGACACTGATGAGTCTTATGTAGACGAAACGCGCGTCTGGCGTATTAAATTATAATCCTGGTACCTTTGTTAACTATTATTCCTGACTTGGTACAGGACATAATAATTGTCCCTAGTATTTAACCGCTTTATCCCCCTTATCAATCTGGGCTTGAGGATACAGGTAAATCAGTAGAACTTAGTGATGAAAATAGAAGAGAGGCGATAGATACAAAAGGGATATTCAAGTTTAAAATAAAAATGACAACGCCATGGCTAAAAAAGAAAAAGACCAACAAACAATAGTACACAAAACACAACCTAGAAAACTAAAAGAATAAGATAGAGTAGTATGAAAGTCATATACCGAATTCAAGTGTCTATGTCAAACTACTAATTAAAATTCTGAGTGTGAGATTAGCTTTCATTGATAGAAATTACCTAATAAAAAAAGATGAAATATAAAAATAACATTTATAAAAAGTACCTGTTCCTTTGAGCTTTAACATCATTCCAATTAAGTCGTCAAACAAGGAATTTTCTGTGAATATAGAAAAACAACTTTGAAAAATTATAATAGTAAATATTTATTTCTGTTTGTTGTTTTTTTTTTAATTTGATGTTTTACACGTTTGCTAATACTTGAAACTTTTTTAGGGATTGATAAATTTAGTATTTCACAATCGATGTATAAAAATGAATGTGTTATAGAAAAAAAAACGTATCCTGATTTATAAAACAAATTACTTCAAGATAGATTTGATGATACCTTACCAAGTTTAGAGCAGCATGAGCTGTTCACGACAAATATCTGTCCAGTTAAAAATAACAGAAGTATCGATAGTAGCTGCATTATTCCACTCAAAGACTGGTTAGAAACGTAATATGGTGATGATCTGTGATTCCGTTCTTGTGGAATAGTTCTTTTATACATCTATGCACAAGTACAGTTTCTCTCTGTCATTAAATGGTAACTTGATATATTTTACATATTCGTGTTACTATGTAACAGCTGTTAAAACGTGGTTTAGTACGTATGGCAAATGTTTCTGGAAAATCTCGTACCAAGTAACTTTAGAAAATAAAATCCAAATTTAATGTAAATTATAAGCATTGTATCTTTGATGGGCTTTTTTTATACAGATTGCAGAATATATAACGATTGCTAGCTTTAGGATGTTCGCTACTCTTATTTTTGACTTTTTGTCAGATATTGCTTGTTCACACTATACGAACTTCATATACAGGAGTGTGCTCCTTACGCAGAAACTGCTCCAACAAAGTTATGAGGAGGACAGATTAAAAATGACACTCCGTAAATTTAACGGACACCATCACGAATTGGTTGATCCATACGATGTGTCTTTGTCCAAACTAACTAAGGACATTTTTACCACGTGTTAGATTGTGGTTTGTCATTACGTCGTCTGATCTTTTAATTACCGAACGTGACTTATTCCCGATTGTGACTGTTTTGCTGAGTGTGAAACCGCATTGCTATAAGACGTGTCACGTTACTTTTAATCCCAAATTCATGTATTTAATTTTGATGTTATATTTGTTATTCTCGTCGGATTTTGTCAAATGTCTTAACGTCTTTCCTGTTATATTCGTGTGTTATGGTAAAGACAATTAATCACCCCCTTCATTTATTAGATTTTAGTTTGGTTCAACGAAATTTATACGATATATTTGGTTTACAGTTTGATTCAGAAGAAACACCGACATAGCTAGATAATACAATCAATTATCTAATTACTACCACAATTTGATATTAATAAGTATTGTAATTTTCATTGTTATTAATAAATGTAATGTCAGTATTACAAATCTAATCTTGAATCAATCCTAATCCTATCTTATTTTTGGGAAATATTTTTACAAATTCAAATGTGACGTCACTTTGTGTGTTTTTTTAGAATTTCTAATGTGACGTCACTTTGTGCGTTGAGGCTTTAGCTAACTCGGCTGTGTATTTTTATGTGTTGGATTAAGTTGTTTTGTGTAATGTATCCGTTTTTATTCTGTAGTTAGTCCCCACTTCGGTTTTATCATGTATATCTATTATATAGTCATTTTATAAAATTTACTGTTTGCAAAATTATAAATTATTCTAAATAATAAGGATGTTCTTGTCCCAGGCAGAAAACCCTGGCCGTGTTAGGCGCAACTTTTTGGAAGTTTTGGCCCTCGGTGCTCTTCAGATTTGTACTTGTTTTGGCTTTCAAACTTTTTTTCATTTGAGCGTTACTGGTTGGTCTTGTGTGGACGAGACGCACGTCTGGCGTATTGAATTTTAAGCCTAGTACCTTTTGTTAGCTATTATTCGTGTGTTTCTTTGTCCTATATATTCTCCCATTTATTTGTATTGTGGTCCTGTCATGTGATGTTGTCGTTTTGGTGTTGTGTTTGACGTTGCCATAAAAGCGGGAGGTTTGGCATGCCACAAAACCAGGTTCAACCCACCACTTTTTTCTTAAAATGTCCTGTACCAAGTCAGGAAAATGGCCATTATAGTTCGTTTCTGTGTGTGTTACATTTTAATGTTGTGTTTTTGTTGTGTCTGTTGTTCTCCTCTTATATTTGATGCGTTTCCCTCAGTTTTAGTTTGTAACCCGGATCTGTTTTTATCCTTATCGATTTATGAGTTTCGAACAGCGGTATACTACTGTTGCCTTTATTTATTCGGCATCCTCTAGTTTTATCCATGTTAGTGCCAATAAAAATTTTGCCCCCTAACCCATATTTTTCTTTTCATAATCTTATTACATATGGTTTAAATAGCCATATTTGAAAATGCTATAAAATCCTTGTTATTTTTTCATAATTTTCTAAAGAAAAAGCGGCCAATGTTAAAAGTATGAAAAGTCTAGAGAGAATCATTTCCCGCCAAATTTTCAATGGCTTATATCGCGAAAACAAGCTCACGGACCCTTCATTTTTTCTGCTTTTTTAGTTCCTTTATTCATATACTATCATTTTAGAACAGTCTTTTAAAAAGCTTGTTATTTTGAAACAGAGTAGCAAACATCCTGAAACTATTTAGTATAATATCTGAAAAATGTGGAATGAGGCAATTCTCCACCAGAGATTGAGACGGTAAACTACTGTCGCCTTAATATAACAGAACAACCAACCAAAATAATAAAACGTCATTTTGTTTTCTTTTTTTTTCTTAACACATTTACATTTGTTAATAGATACATGAAATACCGGTACCTTATCCCGGATTCCTTAACATTAGTATAGAACATATAATATTATGGTTAATTGTGTAAGTACACACATTTTCATTAATCCGGATATAAAGTATGTCTTCATATAAATGATTTTTTCTTATTAATTGATTTGTTTACAATTCTCCACCAGAGATTGAGACGGTAAACTACTGTCACCTTAATATAACAGTACAACCAACCAAAATAATAAAACGTCATCTTTGCAAAGAGTTTATACTTTTATATTAGTTCACTATAAAAATAAAAAGATGTTGTGTGATTGCCAGTGAGACAACTCTCAATTAGAAACAAAATGACATAGAAGTTAACAACTATTGGTCACAGTATGACATTCAACGCTGAGCCAAACCCAAACTGTATATTCAGCTGTAAAAGGCCCCGATATAACAAATGTAAAAAGATTGAAACGAGAAAACTAACGGCTTATTTATGTACAAAACAATGAAAAAAAATGATATTCAGCAAGAAACGACATTCACCAATTAACAGGTTCGGACTCCCGACACCAGCTTGATTGATAATTAAAATCAATAATGAAATACTGTAATAGAAACGCGGGATAATGATATTCCATGTCCTGCGATTGTATCTAGAAATTGTTTTAACCAGGTAGGCTCGCAACCTAATAAAAAGTATTTACAATTGTGTGCTCCTAATTAAAGGGCCGAATTGAGATCATATACATAAGAACAAATGTTAAAAACAAAATAAAACAATATTCAGTCTATGGAAAATGCTAATTGAAAAAACCGTTTCTTATTTGGAGTCGCGATATTTTCTAATATGAAATTGTTTTTTGCAATAATTGTTTTTCTAATATTAAAATGTTTATATGCGTCTATAGATATAAGAAGATGTGGTATGAGTGCCAATGAGACAACTCTCCATCCAAGTCAAAATTAATAAAAGTAAACCATTATAGGTCACAGTACGGTCTTCAACACGGAGCCTTGGCTCACACCGAACAGTAAGCTATAAAGGGCCCCAAAAAATTACTAGTGTAAAACCATTCAAACGGGAAAACCAACGGTCTAATCTATATAAAAAACAAGAAACGAGAAACACTTATGAACCACATCAACAAACGACAACTACTGAACATCAGATTCCTGACTTAGGACAGGTGCAAACAAATGCAGCGGGTTTAAACGTTTTAATGGTACCAAACCTTCACCCTTTTTCTGAAACAACAGTGTAACATAACAACATAGAAAGACACACTATAAAATATCAACTGAAATAGCTTAACTCAATCAAAGGACATATATACACCATTGAACATACACTGAACAAATAAATTTGACCTATGACACAATGTAAATACAAAATAAATAAACTAAGGGAAGAATAATAAAAGTAACATGTTATATCGGAATTAATTCACGAGACAAACATGAGAGTTTAACGTTTAACCATTAATTAACGAACCGTAATATCAATAATTACCTGCCTTTCAAGGTCGTTTTGAAGAAAAAGAGTTAAGTGTACCAGTTAAGCAATCAACGAGGTAAGATTTCTTTATGAACAAATAAAATGTTAACATATCATTAACATATAAACGAAAATTCAGTCATGTTTATTGTAACTTTACGTTTCATGTTATGTGAGGTAGTAGTTTTAGCTAACTTTTTACCATTAAAATGAATTTTTGAGACTTCTCTCAAAATTCTTACTTGTTCGGACATATTTGTATTGCATTAAAGTTATATGTGAAGAATCAAATCAAGTCATTTTGGAAAGACCGACCCGAGTTGGTGGCATCTACATAACATCTATTAAATGTCTATGCAAACACGTCCAAAAAATACATTCCGGCATCCTTACTACATGTTAACTGTAAATTTGGTATGTAGACCCTTAACACAATTTTAAATAAAAGTGTTTATATTCAAGACATGTGTACATTTAATGTGTTTACTTAGAAATGTGTTTAGATAATATCATAATCCTTATCACGTTTATACATGTGATACAAGTGTTTATTTTCTCAGCACCAATTATACAGTGTCTGAAAGCTTTTAGGATATAATATTGTTTCTGCTAATGAACAGGCTATAGAAGAAGAAGGAGTGATGATATCGACGACGGAAGACTTGTACAAGTACCCGGCCACGTCTACTTGTCTTTGTAGAATTTGTATTTTTATCCATCTGATGAGTTCAGCCTCTTTCAACTTATTTTTATAGTTCGTTCTTATGTTGTACTGTTACACCACTGCCCCAGGTTAGGGGGAGGGTTGGGATCCCGCTATCATGTTTAACCCCGCCACATTCTGTATGTATGTACCTGTCCCAAGTCAGGAGCCTGTAATTCAGTGGTTGTCGTTTGTTTATGTGTTACCTATTTGTTATTCGTTCATTTTTTGTACATAAAATAGGCCGCTAGTTTTCTCGATTGAATTGTTTTACATTGTCATTTCGGGGCCTTTTATAGCTGACAGTATGGTATGGGCTTTGCTCATTGTTGAAGACCGTACGGTGACCTATAGTTGTTATTTTCGGTGTCATTTGGTCTCTTGTGGAGAGTTGTCTCATTGGCAATCATACCACATCTTCTTTTTTATATCAGAGAATGAGACAAACGTGTTTGATAAAACACAGAAGATACTCTATAAATGCACTGAATGTGAATTTAGCACACGGTGGCC